TTGTTTGATGCAAGAAGTTTTACAAATTTGTTAACGACTATTTTTTTTCAATTAGTTGCAAGTAAACTTGTCAACGCAGTTTTTTTTTTGAGATTTAATGCCAAATTTTGTGTTTTTTTATGGCTAAATGGAGTCAATTCAAATTGCTTTTAATTGTAGTTTGCTATTTAATAAGTTTTCTGTTTGGATTTTGGCCATAATAGACATTGTATTATAATGGAGAGTTTGTTAGCAAATTAGTTTTCCCTGTTGTTTTTTTTTTTTTTTAATTTGGATAAAAACTATTTGTTTTGCTTTTAAATGAAGAAAAGTAAAAAATTTCTGAAAAAAAAATTTTTTGTCAAAAAAAAAAAAAAAAGTTTTGTAAAAAAATTTTTTTTGTTAAAAAATAAAATTTTTAATGAAAAGCTATTTAAAAAAAAAAAAATAGTAAAAAAATAAATTTTGATGATAAATAATTTTTTGAAAAAGTTTTATTAAAAAATCTTTTTTTGTTCAAAAAGCTCTTTGAAAAGTATAAGTATTTCATTGCGTAAATTTCTTGCTTTTCAGAAGAATTCTTGTTGTAGAAAACTTGTTTGCAAAAATTCTCCTTACTGTAAAAAGCTCTTTGGAAAAGAACTTATTGCAATTCCTTTTCTAATCTTTTCACAGGAAACTTCTTTACAATAGTATGTAAACACAGCTTTCCCAGAATTCTTCCTTAAATTTTTAAACAAAAAGCATTCTATAAAAAAGTTTTTTGAAAAAAAGCTTTTGAAAAGTCTAAGTATTAGTATTATATTTCGTAAATTTCTTGTGAGTAAAAAGCTTTTCGCAAGAATTCTTGCTGTAGGAAACTTGTTTACAAAAACCCTCATTATTGTAAAAAGCTCTTTAGAAAAAAAAACTTAAATATTGTATTTAATTTTTTGAACTTTTCACAAAATCTTCTTTGAAGGAAACTTGTTTAAAAAAATACGTACAAAAAGCTTCCCAATGAGCTTTTTGCTCTTTTTAAATAAAATGTATTATGTTTTTAAAAAACTTTTTCGAAAAAAGCTTTTGTCAAAGGATATCTTTTTTACAAAAAAAGTATTTCACAAATATCTTATTCAAAAAGCTTTTTGAAAGAAAGTTTTTAAGCAAATATTACGAAAAAAGCATTTTAGAGAAAACTTTTAAAATAAGTAAAAAAAGCTTTTTGTAAAAAAACCTTATAAAGAAAACTTTCCTAAAAAAGCATAGCTAAGTTTCATAAAAGGCTTTTGTTAAACAATTTGTTTAAAAAATAAGTAAAAAAGCTTTTTAAAAATAAATTTTAAGAAAACTTTCCGAAAAAAGCATTTAACAAACTTTCATAAAAAATTTTTTTTTAAAAAGAGCTTTTTATTGAATAAATTCTTTAATAAGATTTTTATAAAAGAGCTTTTAATGTAAAACTTTTTGTGAAAAAAATTTTTTATCGAAAAATTGTTTTGTTTTAACGAAAATTTTTAAAAAGTCTTTTATTGAATAAATTTTATAATATTTTCATATAAATGCTTTCTATATAAAAATGTTTGCAATCTTTTTACATCTTTAATTTTTTGTGAAAAAAAAGCTTTTATCGAAAAAGCGTTTTGTTGAGGATAACAGCTCTACAAACATAAAATGTAGGAAATTATAAAATTAGTTTTAAAAGTTTTTAAAGATTTCCTTTATTTAAGAAAAGCTCAAATTAAAGCTTAAATTTCCTTTACATATTAAAAAGCAAAATTATTCCTATTGTCTACCATCCACTAACACATAACATAAAAATTACATTAATAAAACTTATTTTTTAAAAAGATTGTAATAAAAACTTCTATTATAATTGCATTAAAATTATAAAAAACCATGAAAAAAACAACAACAACAACAATAAAATATTTGAAAAGTGATGCGGTTTTAAAAACTAAAATGAAATTTGCTCATTTTAATGCCACAAACAAACTATACACAGGGCACGAACGAACAACAGCAAGAAATAAACTAAAAAAAAGGGGGCAATTCTTAAGAAAACCCCTAAAACTATGCAATACAAAATAAAGTTGTTTTTTCTAAAATAGTTTATCGTTATAGTTTGTTTGGCTGATTTTGTCTTTTGTTGCAAAAGCTAAAAGGAATGTAAAGCATTGTTGTCTTTTCTACCGCCAAAATGTGCCATTGTTTTTATTGTTGTTGTTGTTTTTGTACATTAGACCATAAATGTCTGCCGCAGTTTGTAAATTTTAGACTCATATTTGTTTTGGAGGTTTGGTTGCCTGAATCTTGCAGGTAATTTTTTAAGTTTTAGCATTTGTTATACTAACTGTGGCATTTAGCTTTAACTTTAATAGCAACCTAATTAATAAAAATAAAAATTATATACAAAACAGAAAAAAAAAAGAAACACATGAAAAGAAATTATTATAAAATATCACGTGCTGAAAACTGAAACCATATTTAGATGTCTTTTTTTTTGAGGTTGAGTTGTTTGCATTATGCCAACAGTTGTGAAAAGTTGCAAAACTGTTATTTCTTTTTCATAGGGAATTTCTAAATAAATTGCAGCAAGAAGTTTTTTTTGTTAAAAAATAGGCGTATTCTTAGAGTATGAAGGCAAATGTTTTTATTTACAACTTAACAAAAATATAAAAAAAAATAACAAATATTTTAAATGTTAGTTGTGTGTTTTGTACACATTTTAATTTATTTACTAACTTGCCAATTCAGTTTTTTTTTGTATTTTGGCGGTTTTCGTGCTAGATTTGTTAAGGTTCTGTTTATAAGTTTTTCTTTTCTTTAGCTTATTGCTAATGCCTAAAAAGTGTCTGTTGAAGGATATAGAAACGGGTATTGTTGTGTAGAACGCTTAGCAAGGATATCATTTAGTTTTCAGTTTTAAATTTATAATGTTTACAGCTGCAGTATAAAGAAAAATATATGAGTTTTTTTTTCTGCAAAAAATTGCAGTTTCTTGTTTAGTTTTATATACAAATGTGTTGTATGAATGGTTGGCTGTTAGCCTATTCCTGTCTTTATAAATTAACCCGTCATTTTTTGTCCAGGTCATGTATCCATTTAAGTCACTATTTTCTTAATTATTTAATAGCTTGATTAACTTGAATTCATTTATTCCTTGTCATGCAGAGAGAATCCAATTGCCACTTTAGAGCGTAATAGTCATCTGTTGAAATCGCTTGTCACTTTATTGTCTCCAAGTAATCTACCTAGTAGCCAATCCTGTGACCTTATGTTATCTCTATAGAAGTTATTTAAGTGTTACCTCGTAATCTGAAATAAACTATTTATCATGCAGAGAGAAGTCGATTGCTTCTTTGGACTAACAGAGTAATCAATTGTCACTTTATTATCCCTAAGTAGTCTAGTCTGTAGCCAGTCGTCGATCAAGTGTCTCTAAGTTATATAGTGGGAATTTATTTTAGCGTTCCCTGGTAACTAATCTGAAATGAAGACATGTACTTTTTGTCATGAAGGGAGAAGTAAAACTTCACTTCAGTAACCACAAGTACTCATGCAAGGAGTCGATCTTCAATTTTGTCTTCCTAAAAAAACCAGCCGTTCCTCATTTTGGTGTTCCTTAGTAATCTCGAGTGATCTCTTCCGATCGTTAATCTATACTTCTTCGGACTAACAGAGTAATTGTCACTTTATTATTCCTAAGTAATCTTGACTGGAGCCCATCGCCGATCCAGTGTCCATAAGTAATTTTATTATTTTTGTGTTTTTGTCATGCAGAGAGAAGTCAATCGATACTTCAGTACCTACAAGTAATCAATCAAGGAGTCGATCTTCAATTTAGTCTCCCTAAGTAAAACAGCCATTTGGTATTTTGGTGTTCCTTAGTAATCTCGAGTGATCACTTCCGATCGTTAATCTACCGAGCAATTATTTTTGTATTCCCTAGTAAACCTGATTGAAGACATGTATTCTTTGCTATGAAGATAGAAGGAAATCGGCACTTTAGAGGCCACCTGTAATCTACCAAAGAATCAATCTTCAATTAAGTCTCCCTGACGCGAAGTCAATCGTTATTTTAGTGTTCCTTGGTAATCTAGAGTGAAGACACTTAGAACATTGTAAAATTTGAAATAAAAGTAGACACCAATTGTCACTTTAATGTCACATAGTAATATAGCAAGTAGTTAGTAAACATCAAACTAGTTTCCCAAGTAAGCTAACAGGGAATTGACCATAACTTGCTAGTAGTCTTTGACTTGAGCGATAGTTGTATTTTGCTTAGGAGCTGTACACGATATGTCTATAGCTTTTTCTGTTACCTATGATAAACCCCTAGTACGAGACATTCACCTCGAACTGCCGGAAAAACTTAGAATAGTTATGAGTTATTATATTGTTAGTTTACGGTGTATTCTTCGGTTTTTTTTTTTTGCTGTTTAAATATGACTTGTTTAACTTATGAAGGAAAAAGTTTGACGTCGCATTTTAACTAAAAAAAAAAAAAATCCAACTAATGAAAGAGCTATTTATGACATTAACAAATGCATTTAAACAGAAAACTATTTAAACAAATTTACATTGTAGAAAAAACAACAACCTCAACTAAATATCTATACATAAACCATAAACTTTAACACGCAATTTTGTATAAAATTTAATAAATATTCTAATTAAAAAACAGAAATTTTAAAGGGAAGCATTTATAATAAAAACAAAATCCAATTAAAATATCGATATTTGCTAATGTTTTGGACCGAATATTCTTTCTAACAAAAGGTTTAAAAGACAGTGAGAAAAAAGCTCTCACTGGCTGATGTAGTTTTTAAACTTGTAAGCTTATATTAGGCATCGGCAAAGAGTGTCAAATGAGCTCTCTGTCTATCTTCGTATATATATGTATGTGTGAGCTGTTGTACATGTATAGGGTAGAGAGAGAAAGCTCTTCACATTATAAGAGAACTCTTTGCCTATCTCTATAAACTTGTAAAATTTCAAATTGATTAAAATTTTCAAAAATTAAAAATATTTTCACTTACCTTTAATAAATCTCTAAAATATGGACTGCACGCTGATAATACCACACGATGTGCCTTAATGCTACGACCCTCGCAAGCCAATGTGACATCGACGAAATCTTCATCATCTCGTAAATTCTCAAATGCTGATGTTATGCTACTTTGGTAGTTATTCCAGCGCAGACAAAAATGTTGAGTTTCATCCATTTTGACTGCGTGTATATTTGTTTTAATTACAACAACAGTTTAATATTCAATATTTTCTCTGATTTCTGATTTAATATTTAATTAAGTTAATTAAAGTTTTTAAAATTTTCAATAAAATTTTTGTTCAACAAAAATTTCTATAAATGTATGTTGTATATAATAAATCCGTGTGTGTTTTATTTCCAATATTTTTTTCTGGGGGTTGGTTTCTGTTGAAAATCTGTTTGGTTGATTGATTGGTTTCTTCTTTTGTGTTGTAGAGTTTTAAATTATTATGATTTTAAATTAAACGTAAACTGCAATGAGAAAAAAATGAGAGAATAAAGGTTAATATATTTTGTTGAATTTGTTTGATAAGATAAATTGTTTATTATGGCTTAGGAATTGTTTAGAGTTTAAAATGCATTTTATAATTTATTATTTATATGTGATTTTTCTAATCAATTAAGAGTATTTTTTTGTTTGCTGGCGTCATAGAAAAATGTTTGTGTTAATGAATGATTATGAATTATTTTATAGTAAATTTAAGAATTGCTTTGAAGTATTTATGATTTGGTAATTATTTCAATTCATTTTATCTAGGGATAAAGTTATAGGGAAAGCGATTAGTCAAGCCTTGAAGCATTTAAAAGTTAATAATTATTCTTAATTCTAAAATGTAGAGATGAAGTTATAGAGGGTACGATTTAGTTAGGTCCGTCTGTCTTTATTTTGGTTGAAATAGGGGTTAGTTACATTCTATAAACGAACATTTTGACATTAACGACACAGTTTTCGTAATTGCAATGAAACTTTTCATCGGACAGGATTCTATGATAATATCATAACAATAATGTAGAAGATTATCATCAGCTATAGTTGAGATATTGGCAAAGAAACTGACAAACTATCTACAGGAAGTTAGTTACATTCTATAAACGAACATTTTGACATTAACGACACAGTTTTCGTAATTGCAAAGAAACTTTACATCAGACAGGATTCTATGACAAAATCATACTATAATGTAGAACAGTATCATCAGCTATAGTTCAGATATTGGCAAAGAAACTTACAAACTATCTATAGAAAGTTAGTTACATTCTATAAACGAACATTTTGACATTAACGACACAGTTTTCGTAATTGCAATGAAACTTTACATTGGTCATTGGATACTATGACAAAATCATAACTATAATGTAGAAAATCATCATCATGTATAGTTGAGACATTGTGAAAAACCTGAAAAACTATCTATAGGAAATTAGTTACATTCTATAAACGAACATTTTGACATTAACGACACAGTTTTCGTAATTACAATGAAACTTTTCATTGGATAGGATTCTATGAAGTTACAGAGGAAACGATTTATTTACGTTTGTCTGTCTTTAAGTTGGTTGAAATGGGGGTTTTAAGCTGTCAACAGAATGGATTAAGCTATGGTTAAAATATTGGGAAAGATACTGACAAACTATCGGACATCGGATATTATGACAAAATCATAACTATAATGTAGAAAATCATTGTATCAATGAAGGTTCTTCTTTCATTGTAAAAATACTTCTAAGATATCAATATCAATAACTGAGCTATGAGCAGTAGATTGCGATTGCTGCCTATAAATTTCTCTTAATAAAGTTTCTAAGAATTTCTTAATCTACATAGTTCTCTATGACGAACGAAAAATGTGAAACCCTTTGCCATTTTCAAACTAAATTTAAAAAAAAACTTAAAATTTTTAAACTAATTTCAAAAAAAAACTTGTTCATTTAAAAATATATTTTGTATTAACGGTTAAAAAAACTGTTCTAAAATAAACAATTTAGCTTTTTTTTTTAACTAAAAGTTTGTTGTTTATTTGTGTTGTTAATTTTAGACAAAAAATGTATAATAAATTTCTAATAAAAATAAATAAAACAACACAACAATAATACGATTAATATGCATACATATTGGTGTTAATAAACCCATTGAATCATTCCTGTTTGTTTCATGGTCAAGGTTTTTATTTTTATTTTTTTGACGAAAAATAAAAAAAAAAATATTCAATATATTTTCTTAAAAAGCAAACAATTGAAAAAAAAACAACTCTATTAAAAATGAAATGCTCTTCTCTAATACCAAAAATATTGTCTGGGTTTTGTTGTGAATTTTGCTTTTTCTCAAAGAAAACAAAGCATAGCAGAATAACAATTACTTAAATATAAAAAAACTAACAAGAAAAATAACTAAACTTTCACTCTCATTTAATATTTTTGTCGAACATAAACTGATCATAGAAATTGAGCAGAAAGCTCTCTCTATGGTTATTTGTTTGGGGTTTTTTTTTAGAAAGAATGCATAATTTTTGTTGTTGTTTTTTTATATGTTTGTTATATTTGCAATTATAATAAATAAATAACAAAAAAAAAAAAAACTGTTATTTACTTAGACTATTTTTATTGTTGCTATTTTGAGTTTTGTTGCTCTTTTCTGATTTACTTTATGAAAAGGGGCAACAAGCTTTAGCTGTTAGTTTGACTTTTTATTTTTATTATATAAAAAAAATTTATATTAGTTTTGATTATATTTAATGTTTAGTGCAGTTTGTTGTTAAGAGCCCCCATTAGAGAAAGAGAGACAGAGAGAGAGTGAATAATCTAATCTGTTCTTTTTTTTTTTCGTTTTTTTTTTACTATGAAAGTGAATTTTTTTCAATTTCAAGGTTATAAGTTTGTCACTATCTCACCTTTTGTTTTTGTGTTATTGCAGTACTATTTGTTTTATTGTTATTATTATTTTTAGTTAATATTGTTTTAAATTATTTTTTGCAATTTTGTATGCAATTTGAGTTGGGTTTATAATTGTGACACTTTTTAAAAAAATTTGAAATTTTTTCGGTTGTTTTAAGGAAATTCAACATTTTTCTTAATTAAAAAAGGAAATTTTTAAAAAATGTTTAAGTTTTTTTTTAAGTAATAGTTTAATGATTTTTATAATTTTTTTTTTTTTTGGTTTTAGTAAGAATTATTGCATTTCATTATTCCATTTTATATTTTTTAAAATTTTTTTAGATTTTATTTTTATATTTTAAATTAATTTTTAAAGCTTTTTAATTAAAATGAATAGTTTTATTAAATTTTTGTTCTACAAAAATTTTTAAAAATTTTATTTTTTTAGTTTTTTTTTAAATTAATTCAGTTTTCATAAATTTTTGTTTATTTTTTTTTTCCAATTCTTGTTTAAATTTTTTAAAAAACTCTTGGGGTTTTAAAATTTTTCAAAGATTTTTTTAAACTTTATTTTTTTAAATTTTAAATTTAAATAATACAAATTCTTGCTTTAGTTTAGTGCTTTAAAGTAATTTTATTTTTATTATAGTTATTTATTTCAAACTTTTTTAACGATTTTTTTGAACTTGAGTTTTTCTAATTTTTTTTTGAACCGTTTCAAACCGACTTTTTTTTATGAACGACCGACCGACCGAGCGCTTAAAATTTAAGTTTTAAATTCTTTACCGTTATTTTCTTATCAAATTTGATTTTAAATAAATTTTATTTCTATATATTTTTTCAATTAACACTTTAAGGATTTTGTTGTAGTATTTTTTTTTTGTTACTCAAATTGTTGGTGGAATATGCGCAACTGACCCTGGACTAGCGTTAAAAAAGCGCATTAAGCAACTGCTAAAAAAACTATCCAAAATATTCACTTGAACCGCGCAAACTGCTGCGCCCAAAACAAAAATTCATATAATAAAAAAACCGCCGCATACAACTACAGCAACAACAAACAGCAAATACTATAAGAACAACAGCAACAACATTTAATATTTCATACTGTATACAACAACAGCAAGAACGCAATAAACACCGTCGTCGTCGTCATCATCACCATTCATCCAACAGGAGTTTGCTGCTGTTGCTGCTCTTAATGTTTGTTGTTCTTGTTTGAGGGAGTGTGTTGGTTTAGAGGAGAATTTCTTTGCATTTTTTTTGTTCTCCTCTTCTACTCGTTATTTTTTGCTTATTTTCTACTCTATGTATTAGAATTTATTTCCCAAAAATTTTTTGGTTGATTTATGTACCCTACCATGGGTAATGTTAAGTTTGTCAATGTATTGGTAATTCAAAAGAATTATTTCGGCTAAGTCCGTCTATCCGCCGTTATTTACAAAGTATCACAATTTTCTCAGCTTTCTGAAAACTTAAAGATATATATTCATATATATTTCAGTCCACTTGACTTATAAATGTCTCGATGCCCCAAAATTTCGACATTAGAGAAAAGTGTGGCCCCTAGAAAACTTTTAAAGATGTTTATTTAAAGGTCATAATTGTAATTATAATCGTAGCGAAAATCAATGAAATCGGTCCATAAATGAAAAATCTATAAGCTATAGAACTCGATAGTCCCCGATATTTTTGCAAACATATTTCGAAATCCAATTATGTACTGATTGTTAAGCTTGAAGGGTATTCAAAATCCGCCAACGCCATGCCTCTCACTTTTTTCACTATATGTGTCTTAAATTCTATGTTTGTTGTAGTTGTTGTCGTCGTATTCTGCATTAATGTATTGTGAGTTGTTGTAGTCTCGACGACGTATTCTGAAACCGTGAGATTTTTTTCTTTTTTCATACAATATTCTCGCACTCTATTCTGTATTCAGTCTTTTTTTTTGTTGTTCGCAAAAAAATTCATTTTTTGGGGAATATATTTTTTTATTTTATTTATTTATTATTTTTATAGTAGGTATAGAAATTTTTGAACGAAATAAATTGTGTTTTTGTATTTGTTTAAATAAGTATTAGCAATAGTTGTTGTTATTGCTGATATACACAGTTCTTTTTTTTTTCTAATAGTATGAGTGAAGAGAGTAGTTAAAAAAGAGAGTTAAGTTAGTTTTTGTTTCAAAAAAAATTTTTTGGGGAATATGCAAAAAAACTAACAGAACATTATCATACAAAAAGCACTCAAACAAAAATTTTTGGGAATATTACCTACCTATGCATTTTTTAACTAAGTTCAAATTTCGTGATTTAATGTAAATCTAACAAAAACAAATTATACGAAAAAAACTTATTTTTATTATAGTTTTTTAGTTTTATTTCTAATATTTAAATTAAAATTTTTAGGTGCTTTTGTTCTTAAAATTTTGGGTTTTTTTATTTGGGTGTGATGTGTCATCATCTTTAATTTAAATAAAACATTTTTATATGTCTTTAAAATTGCTCTATATAGTATTTATTTGAAACAAAAAAAACATGTTTAACTTTAAACATTTTAGTGTTTGTCTCAAGAAAACATTCATCATTTTTTTTGTTTGCCAT